AATTAATAAATAAATATATAAATAGATAGATTAGTTTATTTATTTAGTTTATTTAGTTGGTTGTTTAGTGGTGGTACGCAGTAGTAGATATGGAAAAAGAATTCGAAAGGTTTATTGATACTTTTACACTTGAAGACTATCAAGGCAGTGGGTTTGTATATATATATTTATAAATATTTATTTAGTTTTGTTTTATTTATTTATTTATTTATTTTGTTGTTTATTTTGTTTAGTTGTTTAGTTAGTTAGTTGGTGTTATACAGTAGATATGGAAAAAGAATTCGAAAGGTTTATTGATACTTTTACACTTGAAGACTATCAAGGCAGTGGGTTTATATATATATAAATATTTATTTAGTTTATTTATTTATTTATTTATTTATTTAGTTTATTTAGTTTATTTATTTATTTAGTTTATTTACTTAGTTTAGTGGTGTTACACAGTAGATATGGAAAAAGAATTTGAAAGGTTTATTTATACTTTTACGCTTGAAGACTATCAGGGGAGTAAGTTGTTTATTTGTTTGTTTGTTTTTATTTTATTTTATTTATTTTGTTTTATTTATTTATTTATTTATTTATTTAGTTTATTTATTTATTTGTTTAGTTTATTTAGTTAGTTAGTTGGTTGTTTAGTGGTGCTACACAGTAGATATGGAAAAAGAATTTGAAAGGTTTATTGATACTTTTACACTTGAAGACTATCAGGGGAGTAAGTTGTTTATTTATTTAATTTTATATATTTATTTATTTATTTATTTATTTATTTATTTAGTTTATTTATTTATTTAGTTTATTTAGGTAGTTGTTTAGTGGTGGTACACAGTAGATATGGAAAAAGAATTCGAAAGGTTTATATATAAACTTTTACGCTTGAAGACTATCAGGGGAGAAAGTTTATTTTGTTTTATTTATTTTATTTTATTTTATTTTATTTTATTTTATTTATTTATTTTGTTTATTTATTTATTAAACAAAGAATCTATAATAAAGAATAAGTATAAATAAACAAAGACAAAACCCTAGCGAATAACAAATGAATAAAAAGCATAATAAAGAGTAAAATAAATAAATAAAAACAAACCCTCCCAAGAAACAAATCAAAAGTTTTTAATTTTTTTTTTTTATTTTATTTTTTTTTTTTTTTTTTTTTTTTTTTTTTTTTTTTTTTTTTTTTTTTTTTTTTTTTTTTTTTTTTTTTTTTTAGTTATAACACCAACGGAAGAAGAGCTGGAGTTGCTATCTCACGAGTGGCAGGGTGGTGGTATCGAGGGTATGGATCGTCCTCAGGCTTTATATACATTAAAGTTGTTGCGTTACTTGGAGACAAGAGGAGTAGCGAATGGGGCTGGTGCTGTTGCATGCGCATGCAGCGGTGATCGTGGGGCTTTTCCGGTGTCTTTACACCATATACACCTCTTCAACCCCTGGCTATACACCGCAATCGTTAACTCTCCTCAGGATGCTACAGCTGCATTTGATGCTTTATTAAGAAATAAATTCGCTGATCTCAGAGATATACATGGATTGTTTACACATGAAACGGGAACTGCTGCTGATGAACTGCTGCTGCAACAGGTATTTATCTATATGTATATATATGTATATATATATATATATATATATATATATATATATATATATATATATATATATA